TGGGGATTCCCCCGCCGCCCCTTCTTTTTCCCCCCCCCCCCCCCCCTTGAGGAACACACGCTTTGGTCTTTCACCCCAAGCCTCCCTTAGTATCAGGAGTTAGTCTCTGGGACAAGCTTGAAACTTACTAAATATAAAATGTCCTTAGATTGCGAATTTGGACACGGGACGAACACCATTGTGTTTAGGCCGATCTCTACATTCCGTAGATATGCCAAATGAGCGAATCTAGACACTTTCCATAAATAGCATTTGGGACCGAAATGAGATTAACGCAAAGGGCATGATAGCAAGGGTGTTTGGCAGACACAGTAAGCTATCATCCAGCGATATTGAGGGACTAATCTCAATACGCGAGGGTTCTTGTCAAGCCAATGCAAGACAGAGCAAAAGAGAACTAAGAGCCAAGCCGAGTATGCTTAGCTAGAAACACATAGGAGTTCTTACCTTATGTCCATCTGGCTAAGTACAGGTGCTAAGCCTAGTAAACTAACACTTGAACAAGAGGGGCTGATAAAGGGAACCAGCAATACCGACCTTCTGCCGTCATGGTAGTAAGGAAAGAGTGTCCGTAAGGACCGGTTGATAGGTAACTTTCGATACCCGAAATCATATTCGCGACACTCTCCCCCCCTTAGGGAAGATCGACGTCCTCGTCGATGCATACTCGAGTCTAGAATACCGCTAATGAAACAACTCCAAAAAAAGTTCACGGTACTCACACTATGTGAGAAATGCACCAACTTAAATGAGTTAGGAAGTAACCTCTTTGTCTAATGCGGATGCACTACCAACTTAAACACCTTCCGGCCGTCGCCGACAAGGAAATGACCAACGAAGTCAGCCACCCTTGCTGCTCCGGGAGTCACCCAACTTACAAAAGTGTGATATGCCCCTACCCGCAGGAACATAGAGAGAGAAGCCAGAGGCCCCAACCCTCCTGAGCAAAGAAACCAAACCTGTTGGTAAGGTTTAGATAGACTATTGTAAACAGGCAGTTAGAGTTGTTTACACGGTCATGCCCTTTCAACAGAATAAGGAACATCAACAGAGAGGCGGGTGATGTGACTAGTCGACAGTAGCTACCCCATGACTAGAGATTTCAACATGCACACGAAGTGCTGAAGCTAGTCTGCCTATACTAGCCCAAACTCAAAGAACAATAGATGGACAATATCAAAGTCATAGACAATGATATCTTAGAGACTTATTTATCAGTGAATATATCTTAGATTAGAATACAAAAGTATTCCAAGTAAGTTATCATCCGATAAACTAGTATTACAGTATAAGAAACACCAAGATCACTATCTTTGGAAAATAAAAGATTCACCATCCAACAAAATTCAATAGTAAGTATATCATCAAGTAAACTCAATGAGAAAACTTAACTACCGAAGATTGTAGACAGTATGCTAAACAACCTACGAAAAATAACTCAAAGAACACAAAGTATCCTTAACCGACAAGCACAATGCTCGCAAATGTATTACCCGAAGGAAATAACATCCTAATCTATCAGAACTAACTCGAGCAACAATCAACAGAATAGAATGAATGTGGTAAAACTAACAAACACCCATTCATGCCAATTACCATATAAGCTAATTTGAATAGATCTCGGTCAACAATACAAAGGTACTCAAATTGCTTACGCAAATGTTAGCAACATCCTACTGATGTCTCAAACCCCAGAGACTAATCCAGAGCAAACCACAAAGAATATTTGGTATGGCGAAAAGCCATAAGCCATCAAAGGAAACAACTAACCATCATGAAAGATCATTAATCATCCCATCAATAGAGAAATGTATAATCGTCATCGAAGAAAGAATCCACCATCCCAAAGAATGGTAAATCATTCTAGATTAACAATAATCAAGCAAAACCTTTGACA